GTAGTAGTAGCTGGACACATTAGTTCTTCTGGTCTCAGAGTCATGGAGACTGATGTTCCTTCCTGTGGTCCGTTAGTCCACTAGACTATCTCTAAGTTTCTTCAGTTTTCATCCCTCTTCTTTCCTCTGAAGAGGAACAGACCAATAGTTGCACCTTAGCTGGCCACTCATGAGTTTTTAAGATCTCAGTTGAGTAGCAAATAAATTTAAAGTTTATTAAACTTTAATGACTTTATTAAAAGTCATTCTGTAATAGAATTTTTACCTGGATCAAGTACCACCATGCATGAGCTTATGTGTATGCATGTTGGTTGAGGTCATTAGAGAAGTGAAGGATACAATTTCTGATACCCATGTTCTGATCCTGGTTGCAAGAGAACAGGACTATGCTAGGTGGCCCACTCCTAGGTACATCAGTGATACTGGTGCCTGTGAAGTTTCCAGTCTTGTGTTATGAAATTCTGTACCTTAGTAACATGATTAAAACCCAGAGCTGTGGACTGTGTGGAACACCTACCCCATTTGGAGACCAGTAGTATAGGTTCTGTAATGGCTGTTGTAAAGTGCTGTTGACTCAGTTCTGACTTATAGTGACACTGTTTAAGGTTTTCAAGGAGCAGCTGGTGAGTTTGAACTGCCACCAGTGTTGTGGTTAGCAGTCCAGTGTTGATCCTACAGCACCATGCTAGGACTACTAGGAACTATAATTAGGGCTCAGTGTGTTCTATCAGGGTCACTGCCCAGAATCCAATTAGAATCTGATCACTTTTTCCAATTGTTATACAATTCAAGAGCCAGATACTTCAGAACAGTTTGGAATGGCATGCTTGTTTCCCTAATGGGTAAGCATATTTTTATTCTGGGAAGATTTGAAATTAGATGAAAACATTTAAAATAGAATCAAAACCATACTGTTAATATTTTTAAAGGAAGGGATTTTGTGCATATTTGATATTTCATGGAATTATTCAAAACAGTTTGGCCTATTAACAGGCTATCATGTATTTTCCATCTCAAATGTCTAATGATGTAGACATTTTGATTGAGAGGGTTCTGAAGTTTTTACTAGATTGTTTCATTTGTTTGTTTGTTAAGCATTGTTGGAACATTTAGGAGAGTTTCTTAAGTTTCTAAGCATTATTTAGGAGAAAGTTTGGAAGTTAAATCAGACAATTCTAGTATTAAAAAGAATTCAATTAGAACACATTTACATATATATTAAGGTATATTTCTAAATATTTTAAGGTATTTAACGAGGCTTGTAAGGTGGCCCGAACAATAAGCTAAAGTGATTATAAAAATGTTCTGATTTATAAAGAGAATTAAAGATATATAAGTGCAGTTTAAAGCTTAAAGGTGAACTAGGGCATTTTCATTTTATAATAAATATAATTCATTGAAACTAGACACATTTGAGCTTAACAAATTGTATTTTAAAACTCACATGGAATACAGTGATTGACACTATGTTCAGGTCATGGTAGATGTTCAGTGTTAGTTACATCTGAATTTAAAATTTGAATTGGCAGTATTCCTGATGGTTAGGCAAGAGGAAACACATAGTAACCCCAAGTTAATTAATATTCATGGTTTGAAGGCTACTATAAAAGAGAGAACACAGGCTTTTGAAGGATGATTTTGCTCATCTGAAGCAGAGACATGAGGGCTTATAAGCATTCAATGAAATGATGACCATAATGTTGGTACCTAGCAAATAGTAGGTACTTAATAAAGACTCATAATAGTGATTTTTAGAGCTACTTTAATCAAAGTGGGGTATTGACTGGGTCATGCATTAACTTCAAGGAGTACCATTTGCATAGACCACCTGCTTTGCAGTCAAATGTGGCTGTTCTAGATATGGATCTCATTCATTCAACCAAATGCCATAGGAAATTGAAAATTTGTTATGTATGCTATGTGTCACATATCAAGCTACTCTGCTGAAACAGAAAAAGAGCAAGTATGGGGTAGCAAGAGCTGTTTTTGCTGTCTGGGCAAGATTCAGATAAAATTGCATGTAACCCAGAGCCCTGGAGTTTTTTCTTCTTGGGCACTCAGCCGGCCCTGAGCAGCGTGCACAGGGAGGCCCTGAACTAGAAGATGCTTGGCTCCTCTGCAGACATTGTCATTTAGGTCTGGTATCTAGTAATTAGGCACTCCTAGCTGAGCTTCGCTGTCAGTGAGCCTTTGAGACAAATTGCAAAATCTCTGCAACCATCTGAGTGATGGAGAAGTAGATCCAATGACACTACAGGGGAGATTGGTGATTCTCAAAAGTTTGAAAGTGAATGCTTAGAGAAACAGTCCTCAAAACTGAATTTAGAAACCCTTTTCCTGTGGTTAAAGGGAAAGTTCAGTCACAGAATCAAGATCTGAGAGCGCCCTAACAGGTTGGGATTATAGACTTAATCTAACAAAATGAAATGGAATACAAATGGAATAAAAGTAAAGTTCTGTATTTGAATCAGAAAGCCCTAGGTGTGGATGAAAAGATGGAACAGGATGTATCTGAGGATTCACCCATGTAAAAAAGAACTAAGAGTTCAAGTTGACATAAGCTGACAGTTTACTGTGGTACCCCGAAAGCTAATGCAGTGTTAGGCTACATTAACAGAAGTGGAGTGTTTTGGAGGAGGGAGGTGACAAGTCAACTCTATAGTTGGACTTGCCTTAGTAGGAGCATCCCTACAGTTCCGGATTCCACAGTAAATCAAGAATGGTCACAGGAAGATTTGTGGGAGTGGTCCAAAGGAAGAAAGGGGTGGCTAAATGAAAGCTAATGTCTAAAGGACTGTTCTTGTTTACCTAAAGATCTATAGATGGAAAAAAATAAAATAAAATAAAAATAAAAATAAAGAGGGTTTTTTTTATTTTAAATATGTTTAAAGGTAGAATGGACTACTTCATTAATATTCTAGAAGTGTTTGTTTAGGCTTATGGAGACTTACACTTTGGGAATGGATATGGATGGCCCAGAGGTATTTTCCAGCTCCCAAATCCATTTCTTTGCCTTCCAGTGGTGAAGATGTCCAGACAGGTCATACCTAAGGCAGGCAGGTGGTGAGCTGAACCAGAACCATGACTCCAGGAGCAGCATTCTAGACAGCAAATGGGGGGTCTTTGGAATCCTCAAAATAAGACTTCCATGAGGATACTGCTGTGTTGGTTCTTACCAGTGTTTTCTGTTGTTGTTAGGTTCCCTTGAGTCGATTCTGACTCACAACAATACTGTGCACAAAAGAACAAAACACTGCCCGGTCATGAGCCATCCTCACACTAGTTACATACACTGGAACCCATTGATGTTGCTACTGTTCCATTCCATCTCATTGAGGGTATTTCTATTTTATGCTAACCCTCCCTTTTACCAAGCATGATGTCCCCCAGGGATTGGTCCCTCCTGATAATATGTTTCTACCGTCTTCCTTATTCATTGTCCAACTTTCACATGCATATGAGGCTATTGAAAATACCATGGCTTGGGTCAGGTGCACCTGAGTTCTCAAACTTTTTTGGCTAGCCAGTTCTTTACTAGCCAGGGGAGATGTGGGCATTTGCTTTTTAGTCATTCTTTCTATGTGCCAGAACGTGTGTTGGGTGCTGGAAAGACTGAGAAACAAGACAACAGGTCTTGCCTTCTTTGGGGTATGCAAGACAAGAAACACAAATTATACAAAGAGCTATACAGTTATGATTATAGTTACCATTTGGATACATATTAGCAAGGAAAACTGCTGGACCCACTGCTGTGGGGTTGGAGAGCAGGGAAAGCAAATCTGGTTAGGTGGTTAGAGAAGACTCCCTGAGGGGAGGTCTGTTAACTACAGGGTTGTTGTTGTTGTTATGTGCCATCGAGTCGGTTCCGACCCATAGCGACCCTGTATAGGGTTTCCGAGGGTGTAAATCTTTACGGGAGTAGAAAGCCTCATCTTTCTCCCGCGGAGCGGCTGGTAGTTTCGAACCGCTGACCTTAAGGTTCGCAGCCCGATTCATAACCACTACGCTACCAGAGCTCCAACTACAGGGTTAGCAGTTTGAAACTACCGCTGCTCCACGGGAGAAAGATGAGGCTGTCTGCTCCCTTAAACATTTACAGCCTCCAAAACCCCATACAGGTTCACTATGACTAGAAATTGACTTGATTGTGAATAGGTTTGTTGTTAGTCTGTTTTATTTAAAAATTAAATACCTGTTGAAATCGTTAAGTATGACTAGCTCAGAGGCACCTGCATCTCTCTTGAATGGATTTTGATTTCACATAACGTCTTATTAGTAATACATTTCCCCACTTATCTTCAGGGATATAGTTTCCAGTTAGGTCATAGTTCTTTGAAGTTAGATTATCTCCTGGTCAGGTAGGGAGGGGAAGCGCTTGGTTTATTTCTTTAGTCATTTTCTTTCCCCAAAAAGGTTATGAAACTTCTGGGGAGGTTGAGCCATTTTTTTCCCTCTTCAATGACTGGATCTTATATGTAGTTATAGTTACTGTACAGAGACTGCCTTAGGGGGTGTCTGCTTTTATGCTGTTAGCTTCTTATACTCATTGTAGGGATTTCAGAACCTCAGTACTTCAATCTCTTGTGACTGGCTGTTCTCATTCTAACTGGAGTTAACTCTAAGTAGAAACCCTCCTTGAACAAAACTGGCTTTATTGACCTACAGGTAATCTCTTGTTGTCTTTGCTGCTTATACAAATGACCACCCTTTAGTTACAAGCATGCAAACAAACACAAAGACACAGTCTTACCAAGCATATTTACATCCACATTTATGCTTTCCTCCTTAGCTGCCCCAAATCCATAATGAAAAGCCCTTCATCTTAATTTCCCATAGTAAATACTTTTGCAAACAACTGGGCCGGTTTATTTTTCTAGTATTAGGGAACTGACAGTTACAACTTTAAAATTTGTGAATTCTAAATCCTATGCTTAGCTTTCAGGGGTTGTTTGTTATCATTTTAAGTACCCCACTTTATTGTGAATTCTTCTTTCTTTCAGGTAGGAATGAACTGATAGCCAGATACATCAAACTCAGGACAGGGAAGACGAGGACCAGAAAACAGGTAAAGTAACCCACCTGGAAATTGTTGCATGTCAGCGAATGGCCCAAGGAGGCATTGTGGCTGCAGTGGCTGGCTGTGCTTTGGCTCCTAGGAGCCCCCAATTTGAGTTCCCTGTGAAGACGTCAGTGTTCTAGGTGTTTTGAATTGGCTCAGTTTTCACTGTTCATCATTTCAGTGACCCTTTATTATGTGGTCTCCTGAGTTCTTTTTATAGCCATACTCGGGTCCCGAATGGGCATGTCTCCCTGCCATGGACAGTGTGTGACCTGCTCCTGTACTGTAGTTCAATATGGAACATTTCTTTCCCAAAATGTGCACCTGTTAACATTGCCAAGGCTGCAGGTGCAGATACACTTGCAAGGCCTGCAATTGTGAGATTTTGCACATTGTAAAAGCCTGGAACAATTACCTATTAGTCATCATTTCAACAAAGAATGCTAGCAGCCTGAATACGGGCCTAAATATAATACTGAATGATGTGCATCCAGGGAACGGCTGCTCCTTAAGCGATGGCTTTTTTGTTAGTAGTTGCTGTGACTGAAATGAAGTTAGAACTTAAATACCTTTGTGCAGAGTAGTGTTAGGACTTTTCCTTGGCCCTTTGTCAAGGCACTGCCTCCCCTGGCTCTTTCAGCATAAATCTTTGAGATGACCTAGTTCAGAACAGGAATGGAATAAAAATTAGTGTTTAACTTTAAAAACAAAAACAAAAAACAACAACCAACAACACCTGATGGGTGAGTTGTTAAAGAAAAGACATATATATATATTTTTAATGTTAAATGATCTGGAATGGATCTTAAAAGTATATGTAACCAAACCACAAGACAAAGTAACCTGGGCTCTCCTTAAGCCTGAGCAGCAGATTCCAGTTGTTTTCCTGAGTGATTATGATGAGAGGGGGGCGCTTTTCCCCAGGAATGCTGTGTGTGCCACAGCCAGGAGAGCCTGGTGCTGAGTCAGCACAAAGGACAGTGGCCTTCTGCCAGTGCACAGAGGCAGGCCCTTGTCTGTCTGGGGGATGTCCCCTGTCAGTGGCCCTTGTCAATTCAGAGAATCCTATAAGAACAAAATTTGGTTGAAAACAAAGGCAAGAGCTGGATGCGGGGGTGAGGAAGATGGGGAAGTTCTTGCTTCTCTGTGCCTAAAAGCAAATTGAAGAAAGTACTTGAATTAAGTGAAAAATGAAAGGATCTTTTATTACCATTATTCCTGTCTGCAAAGTTGCTGTTCGTTTGAAACGAAGCAATCACCACACAGTCTGAGTCATCCAACTTTTAAATGGCAGACTTGGAATTTCTGAAATGGCAGATCAGATTCCCTACAGACAGAAAGCACTGGACCAGAGCTGCCTGCTTGTCTGTAAGCTCTAGTCAGTCTCCCAGCAGATTCACTGGGGCAGTCTTCTAAATTGAACCAAGTCCCTATTGAAAGAGAGGCGAATTTGTTTACCTAGTAGAATCATTGTGCTTCCGAAGCAAGACTTGGCTTCACTTCCACACCCTGGCATCCTGGGGATGTTTTTAGGCAGCAGTTGGTGATACCTCTCCAATGTGAATTTGTTGTTCAGCAAATCCGTGTGGTTTTCAATCCAGATTTTTAACAGGCTGGCTGGCTGGCTGTATTCACACATTTCGCTTTGTAATAATATGCAAATCTACTTGGCACCCAGTCAATACCCAAAAGAGTGAAAGGATTAAAGATATTTATAAGGGGGGGGGAGCTCTGCTAACTGGGACTTTCCATTTCTCTTTGAGATCTAATTTACATGTCAGTATTATTTTAACATTTGCTACAGAATCCAGAGCTCTTAATGAGATCAGAATACAACCCGACAGCTTCAGCTTTTTGATTCTACAGAATGTGCTAATTTATGGATACCCTACCCCACCCCATCCCCCCAAATAAAAAAAAAAACTAACTCACTGCCTTTGAGTGAATTCCAACTCGTAGCAACCCTTAAAGACGAGTAGAACTGACCCATAGAGCTTCCAAGGCTGTGGTCTTCATGGAAGGACATTATCATATCTTTCTCCCATGGAGTGGTTAGTGGGTCCGAACTGCTGACCTTCTGGTTGGCAGCCTAGCACTTCAACCACTGCCACCAGGGCTCCTGATTTATGGATGTTGTTGTTGTTAAGTGCTGTAGTATTGGTTCTGATTTATGGAGACCCTGTATAGAGTTTCTGAGAGCCGCTGATGGGTTTGAATGGATTGTCTCTTCTAAACTGAGGAAAAGGGATTTTCCCTTGTGATACTGAGAAACTGTAAATATGTTCACTTACATGTACCCCCACCTTTTTAATTTTAAAAAGAAAACCACCCCACTTATCTTAGCTCGTCCCTCCTGGAATCTGTTCTTCCCGGTGCCTGTGATTTCTCCTGGAGGGGAGAACTCAGAATAGCTTAAACTTTCCCCTGAATCAAGTCACTGCAGCGATGACCCAGTCTGAAAAGCTTAGAGCTGCGCTGGGGGCTTGGTGTCTGGCTGGGTCTGTGTATCCTAACTGCAGAGCTTTGTTGAGATGCAAATAACCTCCCCCACCCCTCACCCTGAAACCCTCCCAAGGAGTAGCGATTTTATATTTGATTTCCTTTTTTTGTTTTGTTTTGTTTTGTTTTGTTTCCCCTCATAAACCCGAACAATGTAGGTGTCTAGTCATATACAGGTCTTAGCAAGAAAGAAAGTTCGAGAAATTCAAGCCGCCATTAAGGTACGTCTGGCTTGCCCAGTTGTAGGGGGCTTTTCATCTCCATGGTTACAGGCTTTTCCTTTGTTTCCCTCCCTTCCCCTACCCTGCAGGTGTCTAGTCACATTCAGGTTCTTGCCAGAAGGAAATCTCGTGATTTTCATTCCAAGCTAAAGGTATGCGCTTTCCTGCTTTTTGGCTTGTGGTTGCTATGCATCTCACTTCCTGTTTTCCATGGTGACTGGTGAATGCCTGGTGCTGGGATTCTTGTAACCTAGTTTCCTCGCATGTGAGAGCTGTTTACATTTCTTTGTGTCTAACCTCTCAGTTTCTGTACTAGCCTCACATTAAACTCAGAATGTATGCGTGTGTGGAAGCGCGTGCTCGTGGGCGCGTGTTCCCAATAACAATGCAAATGCAGCAGAGAACTGATCTTGATAACTTTTCAGCCCACAAAATCTCCACCAAACAGGCGAGGAACAGGAGAGGGGAAAAAGTCCTGATAGACAAAGTTGATGCAGAAATTATTTTTAAAGCAAGATAATTTCCAGCGTAGTCCTGGGATTCGTTTTTTTTTGTTTTTTGTTTTTAATACTTACAAATAATTTTAGTATGTGTTTTTGATGCAATTCCAAAAATATGCATGAAAAATAGATCTTTTTCGTGTAATGTTTCTTCTAACAACAAGATAATTTTCTGCCAGATTTCTTCCACATTGCTTAATAATGTTTTTGAAATGAACGGCTCTGTTATTAGAAAGGAAATTTGAGGTGTGGCCTTAAAAATAAAAAAAGATGGATTTTAGAGATAGGAAAAGTCTTGATCCATCATCTCACATCTGCAATTCCTTTTGAAGAGTTCAATTTTTTTTTTTTTTTACACAAACACCTCGTGTGGAATCTTCTAAAATTATTTCTTAGCAAAAATGGAGGTGTTGACAATTTTTAGAATACAACTTATTTTCTTTTTCAATATTTACATGAAAGAATATATGACTTTTTTCCATAATGCCCTTTTTTAGAAATGTAAAGCGATTTCTAATTGCATGGAAAGAATTTTACTTTTTAACAGTGAATTTGGATCCCATATGATTGCCTTTCCTATGTGCCTTTGTTTTGTTTTGTTCTGATTTTTGCCATACATTCAGTTGTTTTTGTTTGAAACCAGAAAGCGAAGTGTAATTTCACAGCATTGAGTGGTGAGCACTGGGATCATTCCCAGAGTCCTCCAACTTTTTTTTTTTATGCAAACCAGGCTGGCTGTGGAACCGGGATTGGGGGCTCTCAGGGGGCATTGGATGTTGTTTCCTATGCAGTGGGCTGGCTCGCTCGCACGTGTGGCTGATGGTGGCTGGCTTTTAGCTGCACTGGCTGAGCAGTTGGGAGACTAAGATAACTTCATAGATTCTGCTTTTTAACCTAAGTTGCAATACCCTCTATGTGGATGTAACTACCCCAGTGTTTGCTGAAGTTCTGACTCTGTTTCTAGTTTCTCTGAGCTAACGAATTAATGATGTACAAAGAAGTTGACAGACATCAATTTTGTGTTTCCATCTGAGATGTTCTGAATTGTTCTTTGTGCACTATTGGCACCAGAGCACAGAGCCTTCAACTAAATGCCTTATAAATAAAACTCTCTCATTTAGAAGGGGTTCCCATAGAATGCAAAAGCACTCTTTTTCTCACTTGGTGATTTTAAGAATCTTCCTCAAGAGAAATAAGTTTGCTGTTGTAAACATTGCTTTATACATATACCTACACACAAACCCACAGTTACATTTGTTTTGCTGTTAGAGAATAGACTGTCCCCCACTCCATGTGAAGGCCTGGTCTACTCTCCTTTGGGGCAGCCAGTGGAGGAGGCGGAATCAGAGGCAGTAGGGTAGCAACTGGCTTAGTATTTAAGCTCCAAGAACCACCTCCGTTTTCTTGTTCTTTCCTCCGACCACATAATTCTTGGGAAAATGAACTCCTTTGTTTTTTCCGCCAACTAATACCAACTGAGTGTCCCATGCATGGAGCTTATCATGGTGGGCAGTTAACACCCAACAGCCTACTCACAGAACTGGCAGTATAAATGACAATGTGAAATAGTGGGCATTATTGCTGAGGTGTTACCAGGTAGAGCACAGATACAATGCAGAAGGAATTCTAGGGACCAGCCACATAGAAATAATGCTTTTGAGTTTGGGAACTAAAAGGCAAGAGTTAATGTTCAACTGCTTAAATGTTCTCTCACATAATGCCAATATGAAGTGAGTTCCATTATTCTGATTTTGTGGAACGCAATGCTAAGAAACTTGGGCTCAAGGAGTTTTGTTGGCTTACCAAAAGTCACAAAGCTTAGTAAATGGGAAAAGCCAGGATTTGAACTCAGATCCTCCTGAATCCTAAACCACTGCTCTTTCAGACAGAGTTTCATCTGGTGGAAATAGTATTATATTTCCAAGCAGAAGGCTTCATGCCATTGTATAGTATGCCTAATTCGTCACCCCTCATAGACTTTGGAGCTGGGCATGCAGGCCTTGCTACCAGCCTTCTACTCAACATTCATTGTGAAACAAGATGATTTTGTAACTGTGATCTCTTGGTCCAAACATAGGTTTCCTCTTGGGGGTTGATGCTGTGGTGGTCATCAGTAACTCGGGGAGTGGTATGGTCTCGATTGCAGAGCTCTGTGGGCATAGAAGAGAGCAAGGCTGACTGTCACCTGCTTGCGGCTGCGTTCACTTCTCCCATGGACATTCTATTTTAAAGACACTGTCTTTAACCTTCCTAACCAGCCATTACTTGGAAACGGGTTACAGTCTGTTGCTTTTGTAGGAGAGGTGGAATTCATCCACACTCTTATTCAGCTCTGGCACCTTCTAGCAGACTTGTGAGGGACAAGCATCTTCACCAAGTTTGGGTTCGGGTCCAGCAAATGGCCACATTTTTTTACCTCTTTTGTTACCTAACACGATAAACACTATATAGTAAGGTGAAGTCATCCCAAAAGCCAACAAGGAAGGACTCTGAGAGGGCTGTGAAGTGTCAGGAAGTATCCAAACTTGCAAGAGATGCTGAGTTTTGCCTGAGACAATGTAGGAAAATTTCCTAGAGAAGGTGGTGATGACTGGCCCTCTCAGACTCTGCCTTTACAGACCCTGCCTCAGCCAGGCCGGTCATCACCTCTACACATATTCAAAACTCTACTCTGTTCTCTGGGGCAGAGAATGACCTATAGTCCTTTCTGTTGAGACCAAGGCCATGGCAACATTTACCTGTCCTCCTATGAAGCTTGAAAAATTGCTTTGTCCACACTTGGGGACCCTGTCTGTTTGTGGCTCCATTGTGAGTCCTCTAGCTTAAAAGCTACTTTTCTCTTCCTGGGGGAGGGGTGGTAACCTTCTTTAGGCCAGTAGTTTTCAAGCCTTTTTTAATGTAGCAAAAATTCATGCTTCCTTTTGAACTTAGTTGAAACAGGAGGGGGCTTCTATTATCGTCCAAGTTCATGAACTTTCTGAAGCCCCCTCATTGAAATGAGTAAACGCTATTCTAATTGATGCTCAGCTTGTCTTGTCCTCTGCAGTGGCCCTTTGGTTTTCCACTGAGTACAGTTTTTGATAAGCTACACAGCTTCAGGCAGAAGGCAAAGGAAAAGATTACCTCTTCAGCTGCCCCAGCCCTTCCAGAATAGTTCATGTTCCCATTTCAGCATCATATTTTGTAAGTTTCGGAGCTTGTCTTAGGTATACAATGCTCCTCTGAAGATAGCAGATTCCAAGAAACCATTAAGAAGAGAATGATCATTCATCTCTTGAAAATCTCTTCCCAAGGCCACCTCTGTGCTCTGCTGCCAAGGGTCCAAATCCACAGTGGTTCTCCAAGTGCTTGTTTAAGGGCTAGATCACTCCAAAATGTGAATGTGTGGCTTTTAACATTAGTTTAGAAAGAAAAATGTTTTAGTAAAAAGGGGGATTTCCACGTAGATTGAAGTTTAAAAGCACAGAAATGATTACTTAATTCAGTCCAGTAAAGTTTTCATTAAGAACCTAGTATGTTTCCAGGCACTTCAATAGATGTTGAACATAAAGAGCTGAATTAACAGGGTTTCTATACTTGAAAAACACTAAACTTCTCTTTAGTTTGTAGCCTTGTATTTTGGGAAAACATCCTCAGCTAGGGGCTCAGTAGCTGACATGAAGCAGGGTAGTGCACATGCAGCCAAAAGAATGCTGAATTCTGAGTGTGAGAGAATTGCCAAACTTCATAACAGTGTTGTCCTTAGAACTGAACCCAGAAGAAGGCAGAACATTTCTCCCAGAGGTACAGTCTGGAGGGGGAGGGGGACCCTTGTGAGGGACACGCTGTAGTTGGAAGTGTCGGGTGGGAAATGAACCTGATGGGAAGGTCTGGCTTGTTCCACCAAGGGGTGAGGACACCTCGGTGGACAATTCCAATTTACATTAAGGGAGCTCTCTCCAGCCATTTTTGGACAGTAGTTAAGAGAGGCAAAGCTGGAGCAAGGGAGATAATTCAGAGGCAGTTGTGAGCCCAGGTGAGACAGGGCTGAGTCACTCACTCATGAATGGCAGTAGCTTTTATTGCCACCCTTGGCTGGCGTCCCCATTCAGGTCCACTCTGTGTCTGCTCTATAGTCTTTCATTCATTGGTTTTAAAATGTAAATTAATTTAAAATGCTTTGTCCTTATGAAGCTGAAAAGTGTGTGTCCTAAATGATTTTGAATTGTGGCAGTTAAAGTTGACCACATTTTAAATAAAACGAGTCAAAAACAGCACAGAGAATATAGCATATAATATGTTTATGTTTCTACGTACCACAGAAGTAGAAATATATGTCATTTTGTATTATGACATATATTTTCTTTCATATTTTAAATGAAAGAAATAAAGTGATAAAAAGTTATCCTGTACTTTTCCTCATGTCCTCTACCCATGCTTGTCCTCAACCATTGTCAAGCCCAGCCTCTGCCAATGTCTTCCTTACCATTCATTTTCCTGGGAAAATTCTAATCCAGTGCAAACTCTATGTTCTCATGTTGACTCTCTCTTAAAATTAATCTGGATTTCTATAGCTCTTGGCACCAACATATGAGGCTTTTATTCTCTCTGCAACCTATAGCAGTCTAAGCTAAGATATATTTGGCCAACAGCTTGGGATGGCCACATGGATA